GCTTTATACTCCCCAGCAGGTGAAACAGAGGCCTTAAGTTTGAGGTACGTGATTCTAGCTCATGTTGAGTTGTGAGTCAGGCTCTCCATTATTGCTCTAAAGCTAGAGCTAGTGCTTTCTTTCTCCAACAAACACACCCAAAATTTGCAGCACAGCGTGAAATTTTCATTCATTTATGAGTCTTTTCAATTTTAATCACTTGTCAATTTACTCCTCAGAAAATCACCTGTACTGAAGTGGATGGGTTCTATGAAGGTTAAAGAATGGAAAGTTTCTGTCCATTCTTGCTCATCCTCTTGGGGGCAGGGAACGTGTGTGTGTGTGTGTGTGTGTGTGTGTGTGTGTGTGTGTGTGTGTGTCTATGCAGAGGGAGAGAGACAGAGACAGAGACAGACAGAGAGAGAATATTGAAATGAGCGGCTATATTCTGTTCCACATGAATAATTGCTCTTCTTTCTTATCAAGTCTACTATCCCTTCCAGTGTACTTTCTTTCTACCTCCTTCATTCTCCCAAAATAATGTGCTTCTCTTTACTTGTCTTTCTCTGCTCCTTCTCTCTCTTCCCCCAACTCCCTGTCTCCTTTCTCTCTTCTTTTTACACTTTGTTTCCACCTGTATGTTTTAATTTATGAAATACTATGTTTAATGCTCAATATATATGACTGTATGCTTCACTGCTCACCATAAATAACTCCGTATTTAGCTGAAGCTTCAACAGCAAACATAGGGAAAGAGTATACTTAATGTATTTAGTTGTTTCTGAATCTCCTTGGACCCAGTTTTTGATCCTGCTACTCTATTCAATTGTCTCCCCTATAATTCACCAATGCTATTATAATAAAGAGTTAAGATCATTTTCTTAGTCACTGCAGGATAATCTCTAAAGCACATGAAGCTGTTGCTCACCTCCTTTTATGTGAAACTCTCTCTCTCTCTCTACCTCTATAAGCACATCTTTCTGATTATCTTCTTTCTTATGGTTTGTATCTTTTTTAAAAACTACCCTCACTTTCCTCCTCTGATCACTAAAATTTTGCCCAAGGTTTTGGTGGAGCTTCTTCAATTTGGCCATATATCATAAAAGTTACATACATTTTTACTCCTATGATGTTGGAAGTGGAAGTGCTTCTTAGAAAAACTGTATGTTATGCAAAAAAATTGTGCAAACATCTGTCAATATACACGGAATAATGAGGACTGTTTTTTTCTGGACATGATGACGGTGAAACTCTAGACCCATTTAACAAAACGCACCTTCTAGAGAGCAGTGTGGGGAGTGTGCATGTGCGAGGACATGCGTATGTGCACATGTTCGTCTGTGCATGTGTAGATTTGAGAGGAGCCCTAGATGGTTCCTCATGATCAGTTTTCATGTTTTAATCCTCCTAAAGGCACATGTTTTCAGTTCACTTGCTCATTCCCTGTGGCCCTCTTTTTTGTTACTCTCCTCTGCTTTTTTTTTTCTTTTATTTCAGCATATTATGGGGGTACAGATGTTTAGGTTATGTATGTTGCCCTTGGTCCCCCCACCAGTCCACGTTTCAAATATGTCCATCCTTCGGGTAGTGTGCATTGCACTCCTTGTGTATACAAATACCCATCCCCTCCTCCCTCCGTCCCCCTCCCCCCTGCCCAACATCCAATAGATGTTATTCTTATATGTGCATTTATGTGTTGATTAGTTAATACCAATTTGATGGTGAGTACAAATGGATCCCGTTCTTCTGCTCTTGTGGTGCCCCACTTTGGACAATGGGCTTAAGTTTAATCCAGGAAAGTATAAGAGGTGCTAGATCACTGTCGTTTCTTATGATTGAGTAATATTCCATTGTAAACATATACCAAATTTTGATAATCCACTCATGGATTGACGGGCACTTGGGTTGTTTCCACATTCTTGCAATAGTGAATTGTGCTGCCATAAACATTCGGGTGCAGATGTCCTTATCGTAGAATGTTTTGTGCTCTTTTGGGTAGATGCCTAATAGTGCTATTGCTGGATCGAATGGTATTTCTATTTTTAGCTCTCTGAGGTATCTCCAAATTCTTTTCCACAGAGGTTGCACTAATTTGCAGTCCCACCAGCAGTGTAAAAGTGTTCCTGGCTCTCCACATCCTCGCCAACATTTGTTGTTTTGTGTTTTTTTGATAGAGGCCAATCTCACCGGCGTTAGGTGATACCTCATTGTGGTTTTGATTTGCATTTCTCTAATGATTAGAGATGTTGAGAATTTTTTTATATGTTTGCTGGCCATTATTCTGTCTTCTTTTGAAAAGTTTCTGTTCATTTCGCTTGCCCATTTGTTGATGGGGTTGTTTGACTTTTTCTTGTTGATTTTTGTGAGTTCTAGATAGATTCTGGTTATCAGCCCTTTATCAGATGTGTAGAGATAAAATGGACTGAGAATCCAGAGATGAAACCATCTGCATATGGTAATCTAATCTTTGACAAAGCTGACAAAAACATACACTGGGGAAAAGAATCTCTTTTCAATAAATGGTGCTGGGAAAACTGGATAGCTACATGCAGAAGACTGAAACTAGACCCCCACCTCTCACCTCTCACAAAAATCAATTCAAGATGTATAACAGACTTAAATCTAAGGCATGAAACCTTAAGAATTCTAAATGAAGATGTTGGGAAGACCCTTTCAGACATCGGCCTAGGTAAGGAATTCTTGAAGAAGAACCCCAAAGCAATCACCACAGCAATAAAAATAAATAAATGGGATCTAATCAAATTAAAAAGCTTCTGCACTGCCAAGGAAACTATCATTAGAGTGAATAGACAGCCCACGGAATGGGAAAAAATATTTGCTCTCTACACATCTCCTCTGCTTTTAATGAAAAATAAAATAATTTTAATGCCTATTTTTGTTAGTAGCTTTTTCCTCTGCCATCTATTCGATTTTATTCTGTTTATTCCTTACCCTTATAAACAAATATGAAATCAGAATATTTAAAAAAAGGTCTTATTTTTGTAAGTGGTCTTGATAGTGGTCTTATCTAAAGTCTGTGGGATGAAAGCAACTTTCATGTTGTCTGTTAAATACTTTAAATTATTTGACCTTTATATGCATATTTTAACATTAAAATATGAGTATGTCCCCATTAAAGCACTAATTATTTAGAATTAGGCGGCTTCAAATCATTTTTTCTATAAGATGAAGATAGAAATTCTTAGAATTTTTGTTTGTTTTGTTATTATATTCTACTCCAAATAGAAACATAATACTGAATATAGGAGGATTTCATATCAAAAATGTTAATTTTTGTTTGATTGTGAAACCAGTAGGGATGGCATTCAGATGTTAACACAAATGTTGGTTTTATTAATAAAAAATTATGCCTAGGTTGTGAACAGGAAACGGCACTGGTCAGATCATACATATGTATCTTAGTTTCTACTTCTTTGAATTGCAGTTTAGTGAGAGATAAACAAAATGGACCTTGTCAAAAGTTGAGAAACCACTACATTGAAGGGTGCAGAAACCACATAAAGAAATGATGGAAAGATTGAGCCTATTTTTCCAACTGGAAAGGAGAAACATCAAAGTAGGGACAGAGGAACCTTCAAAATCTGACTCCCTGTCATGTGGAGAATGAATAAATACTATTGTATCAGCTGTGCAGACACTGTTAGACCAAGAGCACTCAGATAATTAAGGCACTAACCTTAAACTGAATGAGAAACTTCCCATAGACGAATCTAACTCGAACAGTGATTTTGAATTCCCATTGCTGTTGGTTTTCAAAAGAAACTCTATGGCATGGTGGGGTGGCGCGGAAACACCACTGCTAGGGGATGGCCAGTAAAGCAGCAGTAATGGGCTAAGGGCCAGAGACTTCTCAGAAATCTGAGAACCAGGAAGGCCAGTGAGGAAGCTTCCAGGGGTGGGGAAGGAGTCCTCATATCTGTAGTGAGCACACAGAGCCCTGTGTATCAGAGGATGGCTTTCACATACGAAAGCTAACAAAGACAACTTTTTTGATATTAGAGTGTTTGCTGAAAAAGCCTCCAACATTGGGTAAGAAAAAAGGCACATTGGAAAGTGAAAAAATTGTCACTGAAGTAGTGCTAAAGTACAATCAAAGAGAAACACCTAAAGACAAGGACGATCTGAGAAGGAGAAACATGGACAAAGACCTCCTCACACTGAGGTGTGTAAATGCCCTCAGATGATTAGCACCAGATGTCTTTGACACAAGGGATCACACTGCTTCTCTGGGTAGATGCAGTAGAGATCTTTAATGTTTGTTGGTTCCTGTTGTTATTAATAATTAAATTTTCCCTAGAATGGTAGGTTAATTATCTGGCTTAGTCTCAAATTTTGCTCTTTTCATAAAAAATGGCACTGTATATTTGAAAATCAATTTGCCAAAATAATTTGAGTAGCCTTCTTTTTTATGCTATGCCAGATATCTTCATTAAAGGAACATAAAATAATACTGTAAATTTTTGCCGAAGAATTAAAATTGTTATGAAGAAATGGGAGAATAATGTTAATGCCCTTCAATGGGAAGGGGATAATAAATTATAGTATCACCTCATAATAATGATTGTTTTAAATATTGCAGTATGCAGCAAGCTGAAATTTCATCCATGACTTCTAATTCACACAAAAGTTAGATCAGCTAGGATGATATTTATACGTAAAAAGGTACACCCTATTACAATTATAATTACATAGACAATGCTGTGATTCCCAATGAAAAAAAAACTACTCAAAAATAATTTCAAGTAATTCGGGAGAGAAGTGGAGTTCTTCTCCTTTTACAATAAATGTAAGTCCAGGTATAATGGACTGTTCTACCCATAGCTGTTTTACACCTGAGTCCAAAAGAAATATAAATATCTTGCTATTTTTTAACTTTCTATCTAGCCAATGATGTTAAACTGTACATGCCTCAAAAACGAAGCAACAAATAATATTTTATTTTCCATGTTAATTTAACATTTCTTTTTCTTTACTCAATAGCTGGCTTATGATTTTGAAACATGATGAACCAGACACTAATGATGGAATTCTTGCTAATAAGATTTGCTGATAATTGGATGCTGTTGAAGCTGCATGCTGTGCTCTTCTCACTCATCTACACAGTGGCTGTGTTGGAAAATTTAATCATCCTCATCCTCACAGTTGTTGACCAATGCCTCCATACCCCAATGTACTTTTTCCTTAGGCATTTGTCCTTCTTAGATCTGTGTCTCATTTCTGCCACAGTCCCCAAATCCATCCTCAACTCCATCACCTTCACTGACTCCATCTCTTTCCTGGTATGTGTGTTTCAGCTCTTCTTGGTGGTACTGTTGGCAGGGTCAGAGATTGGCATCCTCACTGCAATGTCCTATGACCACTATGTTGCTATCTGCCATCCTCTGCACTACGAAGCTGTCATGAGCAGAGGGTCCTGTGTCCAGTTGATGGCTGTGTCCTGGCTCAGCGGAGGGGTCTTGGGAATCTTGTACTCAGCTGGTACATTCTCCCTGAATTTTTGTGGCTCCAATAAGATATATCGGTTCTTCTGTGATGTTCCTGCCATACTAAAGCTCACTTGTTCTAAAGAGCATGCCACCATCAATGTCAGTGTGGCCGTTGGGGTCTGTTATGCATTTTCATGTCTAGTTTGCATCACAGTCTCCTATGTGTATATTTTCTCCACTGTGTTAAAGAAGCTATCTGGACCTAGCCAATTCAAAGCCTTTTCCACTTGCGTTCCTCACTTCATTGTTGTGAGCACATTTCTTGTTACAGGTGGCGTTGCTTATTTAAAGCTGGGCTCTGATGTGAGCTCTATTCTAGACTTGGTGATGTCTGTGTTCTATTCTGTTGCACCTCCGGCCTTGAACCCTGTTATCTACTGTCTGAGGAACAAGGTTAAATCAGTTCTACGTAAAGTCCTTGCGGAATGTTAGAAGGAGTAGAGTGACTTAAAGATGACTTAAGTTGAAACTAGGAAGTAATAGTCCCTTTTTTGTTCTGCCAATAACTAGCTGAAATTATTTTTATGTAGGGATCAATGTATCATGCGGTCTTATTAGTGAAACTCGGGTAGTCAGTTTTAATAGAAAGTCTTTTCCTACATTCCTTTACTTTACATCTCTCACTTCTAGATATTATGAACATTTTCCTATCACACCTTTGATGGTTTTTAATTTTCTTCCAGAGCTCCATATACGTGAGATTTGTATGAGGTTCTCATTTCTCAAAAAGCTTTTATCATTTTTGGCATTTTCTTTTATTTAATTAATGCTTTATTATCCTGAATTTTCCATTGCATCTCTCAAATTTTGTTGATTGAATTTTCTTTACAGCTTGATTTTCACACAAGTATACATATATAAATGTACGTATAGATACAACTGAAGTTTCAAGTGGAAAAAAAAAGGTGAGAGGTAGTAAAACGAGATGATTTTTTATGTGTTAAATTCAAAGCAAGGAGAGATGTAACTAGTCTTGGATTCTTTGGTCATGTTGTTCTACACAGGGTTGTTGCTGCTATTTTCTCTGACATGTGCTATGAAACTCTTTCTTCATCAGCTCAAGACATCTCTGCCTACTCTACGGGACTTTCGTTATGTAAGAATACACCTACACGAATTAGATGGGGACATGGCACAACTATTGAGAATCCTGCAAGCTTACATATCACTCTGTGATACCTCCCCACACTTGTTCTCAAAACTTTACCTTTACCATTATGATACAGATCAAAATAAATGGGAATAGTTCTTCTACCTCAGTTCAAAGCAGCTCTGAGTATCTGGAAAAAAAATTGCTTTCCTCAGATTTTGAAACAAAACTTTTATTGCACTTTTGGAAAGCTTCCCCATAGTGGTTTGTTATGAATTTATGGAACAGTCTGAATGTGGTATGGTATAGAACAGATTTCTTTTTTACTTCATTTCAAACACTGCCTTTAAGCATGCAATGTCCAATCTGCCTTTCTTTTGCCTCAGTGTTGAATACATGTAGTGATTACACACAGGCACACATACACCATGGAGTGAAGACTGTGTTTACCATTTTAGAATTTAATCTGACTATTAAAATGTTTTTTTAAAAGACTCCACCAGCAGCTAATTAAATCAAATATTTGTAGCCACCTAACTGAATGTTCAAAGAAAATGAGCTCCTTTTGTCTGTGGGCTATATGCCAGAGGATGATCAATCAATATGATAATGCAAATAGAGGATTAAGAAGATTACAAATATTTAGCATTTTATTTCATGAGAGGTAGAAATTCTATAATTAAATTTAGTCTTCAAAGCTAGAGGTATTTAGAACTGTGCTACCAAATATGGCACCACTAGACACATGTGGCTATTTTTTACTTAGAAATGTGATTGGTCTGATTAAGGAACTGAATTAGTACTTTTAATTAATTTGAATTTAACTGATACTTGATTCAGGTATTGGAACATTATTGAGTATGTTTGAAACAATCTGGGCATGGGAATCTATTTTTTTCCACCATAAATTTCACTAAAGCTAAATACAGATTATTTCCAGTGTAAGTTTAGTGCTCAGAATGAGTTGTTCCATAAATGGGTTTCAAAGACTTTATATTAAAAAAGTGAATAGTTTCATTAATAAATGAATGTTTGTAGTAATTACCTATTAAAATGACAAAGTTTAAACATATTATTAAAAGCAATTTCAACTGATTCTAAAATTACACATGTAACTTTTCATTATATTGGACAGTCCCTGTCTGAAAGAAATATAAAAATACACACACACACACCCGCACACACTGATTTCATGGCTTTTTGCTCTGAACCATGTGGCTATTTAGAGACTCTGTCATGCATAATTATTATCAATAACAACCACAAATAATTCTGTGTTAAACATTTCTCTAATAACTTAACATGCATTTTTCATTTAAAAAGCCCCAATAGCTCTGTATGTTATGGATTATCTTTATTTTCACATTATGAAATGAGTGGTGACTCTGAATATAAAGCACTATTTTGTTTGATTTTGAAAAGAAGGGGAGATAGAGATGTGAATAGATAGAACGAATGTTCAAGAGGGTTAAAATGACTAAATAAAAAAGGAATAAAATAAAATGAAACTAGTAATTTCCAAAGTCCATGGTTAGACCAAACAATTTGAATCCTAAGTCCATACCTGTAACCAAGAAACAGGTCTGTTTCCATGACAAATATGTGCCTGTAATGAAGCACTTGAGTATAAAACTCACTCCCTTCATATATTATAAGAGCATAAAACTCACCCTTATTAGATTTTTCAATGTACTGGCTATGTTGATTAAAACTGGCTAAATGACTATATTATAAACCTGTTCTCATTTGTTTAATAACTAATGCAAAGAAAAAGAAATCCCTTTCCTTTCCTGTGTCCATGATTACAAATATTCACTGTAATAAAGTCTACTAGAGTACTTCATTTCTCAACATTCCGTAATACAATAGAATTTTTACACAGATCTGCATGGAAAAAGAAGTTGTATTTACGTGGAGGGTTGGTTTCATTACAGTGTACTGACCACCATGTCTCTCCGTGCAACAAGGCTCCCACTCTCTTTTGAAGAAATGTAAAAAGTGTCCTGTGCCAATTAAGCTGACTGAAGTTAGGACAGGGAAATTTAGATGGATGAAGCAAATTTTAAGAGCAACTTTGGACCTCAGTTGATTAGACAATCTGCTAAAACCTTGCATACAGCTGTGTATGGTTGGCTCCCATAAGACAGTGAGAAAAACACCTGACATCACAACTCAGAACAGGTGACATCAGATACACACTAGAGTGACCAAGGACTGAAGGCTGGGTCTGGCTCCCATGTAAATCCCATGCTGGTCTCCTTTCCTCATTTCATGGTCTTCTGAGGTCTCCTGAGGTTTTGCTACGTGGCCTGTTCCTTCTATTCCTCCCAGACCAGGAAAACCCCATCTAGTCAAGGTTCTCCTGCGTTGTTTTTTCTATAAATTGTGGAGACCATACTTTCCTGAGAACCTTACTTTTTTTCCTCGTGAAAACCAAGTTCCGGCTCATAAAATGTTTTGTCTCTAGCTGTTCTTGTTTGTGATACACATTTAAAGAGGTCATTTTGAATAACAAAAAGGAACAATGACTGTTTCTCTTCTCAAGAATCTTTGACCATCCTAAATCACTAGACATCTCTTACTGATTAGGAGAAGTTCTACAAACAAGGATTATAGAAAAAAAATACAGAAAATTTCATATAACTGTACATAATATAATCCAGAAATAGGTTGCCTACTACAGGAAAAACAGAAACTGAAGGTTTTCTGTGACATGCAAATCTTTTAGGGTTTTTTGTCTTCTTTTAAAAGTTACATAAGGTATATGATGTGTGTAGTGATATATTTCCATTAAAAATACAAAATTTTCTAGTGCCTCACTATTATATGCATGCACTGATAGATAGATAATCTGAAATTTTATTTGTGTAGTCCTGTGCAGTTGAATAGAATAAGGATAAATGGTCTGACATAGGACAAATCAAGACTTGAATAACTTCTGTAATAATACATCTGTCAAGCCAGTGATCAGCCCAGGTTGGGAATGCTAAGGCACCCTGAACTGAAAAAAATGAAACCAACTAGATGGGGCGAATTCTAAGGATGGTAGCTCAAATTAGTGTCCACTGTATGTAACAAAACTCCAGCTACATTTAAATACTTGTTGACTAAGAAGAGGTCTAATCATGTGACTTTTTTTTAAGACATATGAAATTTGTGTGAGTATATCACAAATGTATGAACCACTGGATTGTTTCTATTCTGGAGCAATTAAAAATACTGCTACTTCTGTTGCGCATGTATAGGTGCATTGATCTTGGCTGGATATATTTCTAGGAGTGCAATTACTTGTTTATAGGTTATATATATCTTTAAATTAAATAGCTAATTACAAACTGTTTTCCATAGTAGTTGCACAAATTTTCCCTTCCATCAACCATCTCTGACAATTCCTGTTGTTCTATAGTTTTCAGGACTAATGATATTTGCCAGGCTTTTAATTTTATTTTATTTTTAATTTTTCCCATTTATTTTGTATTTGTATATATTCATGGGGCACAAGTGGAATTTTTCCAATTTGATATACTGCACTGTAGTGAAGTCAGGGCCTTTCTTGCATACATCGCCGAAGCAATGCAGCCTCCCATCGCCAGTCTTTTTAATTTTAGACATTCTAGTGGTTCTGCAGGGACTTTTCATTATGTTTTTAACTTGCACTTCCTCTGTGACTAATGATGTTGAACACATTTTCAGATGTTTGTTGGCATTACCCCTTTTGTAGGTTGCTTGTTTAAGTCTTTTTCTTATTGATTTGTGGGAGTCTATATATTCTGAGTATGAGAACTTAGTTCTGAGTTTCCGGAATTTTTTTTGTGCTTTGTGACCTATCCTTTTAACTGTTTTTGTGGCATGTTTGAAGTCTTTAGTGTGTTGCAGTTGCTAAAAATGTTATTTCATGGTTAGATCTTTCTCTGTTCCATTATCTTCAGATCATGAAGATATTCTACCACATTAACTTAAAAAGCTTTGTATTTTACCATTCCAATTTAGAACAGTTATCTACCTGGAATTGATTTCTTGTGCACAGAGTAAGGTAGGCATCAAATTTCATTTTTAAACATATGGATATCCAATTAAGTGTACACCTTTTTTCTCTGAAGTTCTACCTGTGTCATTACTCATGTCATATATATGCATGGTATGGCTTTTGGCTCTTTATGCTCTCTATGCCTAAACAAATTGTTCTAATTATTGTAATTTTATAATGTATTGATACCCAGATAGCAAGTTATTTTTCCTTTATTCTGAAAGTGTTAGCTCTTTCACATAATATCTATATAAATTTTAGAAACAACCTACTGGTTTTCACACACACACAAGGGCTGGAATGTTTTTGTTTTCATATAATAACATCAAACTATAGATTAATTAAGGAAAATTGAAGTATTTACCAATTTGATCTTCAACTACATGAACAGTGAACATTTTTATTGATCTTTATTCCTTAATCTATCTCTGACTTTCCTTATTGGAAAAATGTTATTATTTCTGAAAAAATACTTCTTTTAAAAATTTTAACAAGACTGTGCTTTTCCTTGGACACTTATTTTCTTAAAGCAAGTCACTTAGGGTTGAATTCTCCGAGTTATTTTGTTTATTTTTTCTAATTGCAGGAAGAAGTGTTTTGGGTGTATTCATCTGAGTGCTCTGAGAAGCAGATGCCAACAGCAGATTGTATACAGAGAATATATATCAGGGGAAGACACTTGCCAAAGGCCTTTAACATTCTCATGCACCTTGCTGGGTATGCCAGAAAGGTAAGCCTGCTCTTTACCCAGGCCTTTTTCTCGGGGTCAAGGTGAGCAACCTTGAGGTATGAGGTGATTGCCCCCTACTCTCCATGGGAAAAAGAGAAGATTGAGTTATTTATTGCTATAACATAGAGAGGTTCCTCAATATTCCCAGTTTCAGTGTGGACACATTTTCTGTGAAGTTTCTATCTGGAGCCACAGGATCACCCTGTGTGACTTGGGGACAAGGGGAAGTGTCTCATGTCTTCTCACAGGATCCATGAAACAGTTAACTTATTAGCTTTTAAGTCAGGTAAAGTCACATCCCAGACAATACATCTATTGTGGGAAGGAGCCAGAGGATGCTGGAAGAACATTCAGACCACAGCACAGGTCTGACCCCTGTGAAGGAGAGAGGGAAGGAAGGAAGTGCAGTACAGCACTACCAAAGTTCCAGCAAGCTGATGAGGAATTGTTTATGGAGGTCACCCATTAGAGGGCTGCTGTGTCTCCCAGGATGACCATGCCTTAGTTTACTTGCTGAACTCAGACATTGACTCGGAGCAGTCCATGGAATATGTGGCATTGGGGCAAACTTGGTGATAGATTTCAGAGCATGGCAGCTGGCACTGTCAGTGAATTACCAGGTATCCAAATCACCTTCCCTCAGTCAGAGATCTGAAAGACATATTCTCGTGACTGCTGTGAGCATTGTGTAATCATTTCCTTTTCACCACATCTGCTCCAACATTGATTGTTTTTTGACTTTTTAATAATGGCCATTCTGACTGGGGTAATATGGTATTTCACTGTAGTTTTAATTTGCTCCATTGAGCATTTTTTTTCATATATTTGTTGGCCATTTATCTCTTTCTTTGAAAAATGTCTGTTCTAGTCGTTTGCCCACTTTTTAATGGGGTTATTTGTTTTTTTCTTGCTGATTTGTTTGAGTTCCTTGTAGATATTAGACTTTTGCCAGATGCATGGTTTGCAAATATTTTCTCCCATTCTGTAGCTTGTGCATTTACTCTGTTGATTATTTCTTTTGCTGTACAAAAACTTTTTAGTTTAATTAAGTCCCATTTATTTATTTTTGTTTTTCTCATATTTGCTTTTGAGGTCATAGTCATAAGTTCTTTGCCTAGGACAATGTCCAGAAGAGTTTTTCCCAGGTTTTCTTCCAGAATTTTTATTGTTTTGGGTCTTATGTTTAAGTCTTCAATCCATCTTGAGTTGATTTTTGTGCATAGTGAGAGATAGGGATCCAGTTTTATTCTTCTTCATGTGGCTATCCAATTTTCTGAGCCATTTATTGAATACTGTGTCCTTTCCCCAGTGTATAGTTTTGTTTGCTTTGTTAAAGATCAGTTGGTTGTAGATATGTGGTTTTATTTATGGGTTTTCTCTTCTGTTCTATTGATCTATGTGTCTACTTTTATGCCAGGACCATGCTAATTTAGTTAACGTAGCCTTGTAGTATAATTTGAAGTCAAGTAAAGTGATGCCTCCAGTTTTGTTCTTTTTGATTAGCATTGCTTTGGCCATTTGGGATCTTTTTTGGTTCCATGTGAATTTTAGAATGGCTTTTTCTAATTCTGTGAAAATGACGTTGCTATTTTGATAGGAATTACATTGAATCTATAGATTGCTTTTGGCAGTATGTTCATTTTAACAATATTGATTCTTCTGATCTAGGAGCATGGGATGTTTTTCCATTTGTGTTGTCTCTGATTTGTTTCATTAGTGATTTGTAGTTCTCCATGTAGACATCTTTCACTTCCTTCGTTAAGCATATTCCCAGGTATTTCTTTTTTGCAGCTATTGTAATTGGGATTGAGTTCTTAATTTGTTCTCACCTTGGCTGCTATTGGTGTATAGAAATGGTATTGATTTCTATACATTGAGTTTATAATCTGAGACTTTGCTAAATTCATTAATCAAATCTTGGAGTCTTTTGGGGGAGTCTGTAGGGTTTTCTAGGTATAAGATCATATCATCTGCAAACAGAAATAATTTTACTTTCTCTTTTCCAATTTTGGTGCCCTTTATTTCTTTCTCTTCCTTCATTGCTCTGGCTAGAAACTCCAAATATTTGCCTTCTCCATTTCAGTTCCATCCCATTATCATTCTTACAGGGTAATTGACACAAAAATGGGTAATTGATGAATCAAATTAAAACCACTCTAGGGTCATAAGTGATGAAAACTGCACAGGCAAATTTTTTATCTTTCAATTTTTTCTTTTATTCATTGTTAAGTGGATGTTTCAAATCTTGAAAAAGTAAAAGGCATGCAATTTTGCATGGCCTCAGCTCATAACATGGAGCGATTTTTTTTTTTTTTAATGACGCCTGGCATTTCCTCATTTGCAGTTCGTGAAATATTTTGAAATGATTCAACATTTTTCTTTGTGGTCTGCATGAAGTATGCCAAGTAAAACATCTTTAAAGTTTGGTTCTAGAGTCATGATGATCTTGGAATACAAAAGCCCGATGCTTGATCTATTCAAGAAAAACTTCTTTCATGTTTTTGGTGCTAGTACCACTACTATCCATAGAGAGACAGGGTCTATTTGCCATCCATTTTTGCAGGATGGTTTAAAAAAATAGAGTTTCTATGGTATTTTTACATTTTTTTAATTTAAGCATATCATGGGGGTACAAATGTTTAGGTTACATATATTGCCTTTGCCCCACCCAAGTCAGAGCTTCAACCATGTCCATCCCCCAGAAAGTGTGCACCACACCCATTAGGTGTGTATATACCCATTCCCTCCTACCCCTTCTCACCGACCCACCACCTGATGAATATTATTACTATATGTGCACTTAAGTATTGATCGGTTTATACCAAGTTGATGGTGAGTACATATGGTGCTTGTTTTTCCATTCTTGGAATACTTTGCCTAGTAGAATGGGTTCCAGCTCTATCAGGATAATGCAAGAGACGCTATATCACCATTGTTTTTTGTGGCTGAGTAGAACTCCATGGTATACATATATCACATTTTATTAATCCACTCACGTATTGACAAGCACTTGCATTGTTTCCACATCTTTGCAATTATGAATTGTGCTGCTATAAACATTCTGGTGCAGATGTCTTTTTTATAAAATGTCTTTTGTTCTTTTGGGGGAGATGCTCAGTAATGGAATTGCTGGATCAAATGGTAGTTCTACTTGTATCTCTTTGAGATATCTCCGTATTACTTTCCACAGAGGTTGTACTAGTTTGCAGTCCCACCAGTAGTGCTTGAGTGTTCCTATCTCTCCGCACCCATGCCAACATTTATTGTTTTGAGACTTTTTGAAAAAGGCCATTCTCACTGGAGATAAGTGATATCTCATTATGGTTTTTATTTGCATTTCCCTGATGATTAGAGATGTTGAGCATTTTTTCGTATGTTTGTTGGCCATTAGTCTATCTTCTTTTTTTGAGACAGAGTCTCGCTTTGTTGCCCTGGCTAGAGTGAGTGCCGTGGCGTCAGCCTAGCTCAAAGCAACCTCAAACTCCTGGGCTCAAGCAACCCTTCTGCCTCAGCCTCCCGAGTAGCTGGAACTACAAGCATGCGCCACCATGCCCGGCTGATTTTTTCTACATATATATATATATATATATATTTAGTTGTCCAGATTATTTCTTTCTATTTTTTGGTAGAGACAGGGGTCTCACTCTTGCTCAAGCTGGTCTAGAACTCCTGACCTTGAGTGATCCACCCGCCTCGGCCTCCCAGAGTGCTAGGATTACAGGCGTGAGCCACCGCGCTCAGCCAGTCTATCTTCTTTTGAAAAGTTTCTGTTCATGTCCTTTGCCCACTTTTTCATAGGGTTGTTTGATTTTTTTCTTGCTGATTTTCCTGAGTTCTATGTAGAGTATCTATGGTATTTTATTTGTCCAGGAAATTATACGGTTTAATTATGAATTATGTTTTCTAAGAAGTTTGATTGTGGTCTCTTGCCACTTTTAATATAGGTTGATTAAAGCTTGGAAGCTATTCATCCTTTGTCAGATATGTCACTATATTTATCCTACTAAAAACTAAAATACAGTTAAGGGTCATTGTGCTTGGGGAATTGATGGCCCCCTAACTACTTATTTAGATTCTCCAAATGTGGGTTCTTCTAAACAGAATATTGTATTGGGTATAGTATTAATACTTTATCAGATGCCATAAAACATTTAAATTACCTTACTTTGGTAGGTAGATTGAGTTGACTTAGTAACACAGTCTAACTTTATAATTCTGAAGCCTTTTTATTGTCATTAGGGAAATATGTGAGAAAGTATATGAATCAAAATACGTCAGTAAATCATGACTATTACTAATAACTCCCCATCCTATGCTCTACTCTGTAAGCGTGGAATTCTTGCACTTTTCAATTTTCTTAGATATATAGAAGTAACCCTATTATCTTCATAAGCAAATAGTGGTATGGAATTGATCTACAATAATTGGGAGATCTAGCATTCTGGGAAACCCCAGCAAATTCTGGATTAATTATTTCATCCTGCTGCTATCTATTCTAGCTCTGTTATTTGGATGTTTGTCAAAGTAGAATGGATTTGCCAGGACTTCAGTAACTAGTACTCACAATCCTAATAGTGTAGTGAGGAAAGGAGAGTAAATATTGCCTCAGAGCATTCTGGTGCTATTAGGGGAGACAGACTAAATGACAATTTGAAATCTAAAATTACTTTCTGGCAAGGGATCTGATTCAGCAAGGGTCAAAGGTCTATTCTCCACCTCTTGGCAAAACCTCCAGGGAGGGACTGAGAGTCTGTGTGTGGAGGTGAGGATGTCTGAGACCCACAATCTGGCAGTCTGGAGCAGGCCTCGCCCTTTTCCACCCTCCCCTATTATGCAGTTTCCCCTAAGCCTCTGCCAGTGGGCAGGACCTCAAACCAGCTGAGCTCCCCTACAACTATGTTGCAGACTGGGAGGTTCCCTGCCCAGGATCCTGGCCTGAGCTGGGAGCACGGCCCTCCCATGGGAGGAGAGATGCCCAGGAGCATGCTGCAGCTAGGACCCACGCTGCACTCGCCCCCATCTGCCCCTGCAGGCACTCACACCACCCAAAACTAATTCACAGATATCCCCTCTGTGCCCTGGGGAACGTGATCAAGGCCAGGGGGTACAGGATCTGCCCTGAAGGCCCATCCCCAGGGCCCCATGCTAGGGAGGAGCATGCTGGTCCCGAGTCACCCAGAGGGTGCCCAAGCTGGTTTAATATCCCTCCACCTCAGGGCATGTCCTGCTCTGATGGGGCTTCAGGGCAGGGCAAGCAGCACCAGGGAGGGATGGAGGGCAGGGAGCTCACAGTCTGAGCACCCCTCCGTCCACTGCAGGACCCCAAAAGGAAACGTCTGAGCCCCGTTCCCTGTGGAAGCCTCTGTGTGGTGGCTTAATTGTCTCTCCTGACAGTCGCAAGTCGGGGAGGGGAAGGGGGGAAAAAGAGTTGTGGTAGAAGAAAGCCAGCAATCAGGTTGTCTCCAACCCTCTGTCCCGGAGGCATTCCACCCAGAATTACCAGGCTCTGGAGACACGCAGATCACTCAGGACCCACTGGACCTTGTGGAAATAATTAATTAATTAATTAATTAAAATTACTCTCTCAGAATAGGGAAATGACATCTGGGGCAGCAGATAAGAGAGTGATAATTAACTATTTTAAAGCACATACATTCATTGAGAACCTCTTATATTCAAGACATTTCTAAACAAGTGGCACTCACATGTCTAAGATGCTGCCAATGAGAAACTACACTCTGAAGGCTAACGCCAGCTCATAATGCCAAGTCCAGAGTGTCAGATATAATGTTGGATTGCTTCTAGACTATTGTTTTCTTAAGGATTTTTTGCTTTCTTTTAAAAGGAGTATTTCCAATAGCATATTAAGGAACAATAAATAAAATAATGCAATTGGTCACCATATTGATGTAAAAGTGAATTAAAAATATATCACACACATAAAAATAATGGTCGGTGATGGCTCATCAAATACAACATAATTTTCCACAACTATAGTGGAAGGTTTATTACATAGTAATATCTATATACTAATAAAAATATTTCATTGTAAATATCCCTGAAATTCACTGTAGGATTTTTTTAAATGCATAATTTTTTCTCATGCTCTGTGGATTTTTGAATTAGATAAAATTTGATATATGAAAGTAATGTCTGAAAGTGGGACAAAAATACATATAGCCCAGTTTTTTGATAAGCTATACAATACTTTATTGTATGAAATTAAATCTGCTAGATGAATAAGATAAGACAAATTTCGGATAATTTCACTAAAGCAAAAACTTTGATATGGAATGCTAAAGCTTATTACAACCTGAGAGGATTCCATTTCCCCTTCCACATATTAGATTTTCAAAAAATTCAATTCAGAAGAATTAAGTTACACACCTAATATCACGAAGACTTAATCAGAATGAGGAAGAAAAAAAATGAACAATTTACATTTGTGTTTCTGTTTCTACCACTTCACGTCGCCACCAGTCTCCACAGGAGCTTCCTAAGAGCTGACTTGATTTCCTCATTCCTCAGACTGCAGATGACGGGATTCAGAGCAGGAGCCAGCACCACATGTGACTCTGAGAACATCAAGTCAACAGAGACTGGGAGGTGGCGATGGCTCCAAATAGGTAATGAAACCTGTTAGGAGAAAGGAAGTTACAACCGTGAGACGGGGAAGCAGGTGAAGAAGGCTTTTGATATGACTTGCACAGATGGGATCCTTAGTACTACGTTGAAAATGTAGATACATGAGAAAACTGTGGCAAGCACACAAAAAAATCCCATAAAATATTCCAGTTGCCACAATGACATTAATAGCAATATGATCCTTAGGGGAAAAAAAAAGCTTTAATAATAAAGGGACGTCATAGAAAAACCGAGGGGCTTTTCAGAAACCACAGAAGGGTAAAGACAACTTGCTGGCTGAGTGTGTCTCCCAAGAATCCTCCGAAGCACGCGGCGGCCACCCTCACGCGCACAGACGCCCTGGTTACCGATGACGTCACAGGGCAGCGGGCCGCAGAGGGCAACGCAGCGCTCACAGAGCGTGGCAGTGAGGACGAGTCGCTCAGACCCCGCAAAGGCAATCACCACCAACACGTGTGATACGCACCATAAGAGAGAAATGGTGCTCTTGTTGGAAAGAGAGTTGAGAATGGATTTGGAGACCATGATGGAAATGAGACAGACATCGAAGGTGGTACAAGTTTTCCATAAAAAGTGCATGGGAGTATGAAGACACTGGTTCGGAATAATGACAGCGACAATGAGGAGAGTCCTTAGGAGAGCCGCCAAGGAAATCAGCAAACCAGAAAAGCAAGTGAAATGTGGAGCTCTCGGTGTCAGAATTCCGCCCGAAGAGTTCCATCATCACTGTGTTGTTTGCCATGTCATGTCTCTGTCACACTTCCTGAGGGATGTCGTGTGGGATAAAGGGATTTAGTACCATTCACTGTTTCCCTGAAGCTGTATTTTTTGCTGAATGCACATTTAATGTTTTGAAAATTCTTCCAAAATATCTACATTCTTTGTCAGTTTGTAGTGAACGAGGGCTGGCTAAGTGACACCACTTATGCATATTAACTTCAGTTGAGAAAAGGTAATGATTTTACCCCTTTTGTTTACACACTAAACATACTATTAAAACTTAATTGTAGGCTGGGCGCGGTGGCTCATGCCTGTAATCCTAGCACTCTGGGAGGCCAAGGCCAGTGGATCATTTGAGCTCAGGAGTTCAACACCAGCCTGAACAAGAGCGAGACTCCGTCTCTACCAAAAATAGAAAGAAATTAGCTGGAGAACTAAAAATATATATGTAGAAAAAATTAGCTGGGCATGGTGGCACATGCCTGTGGTCCCAGCTGCCTGGGAGGCTGAGGCAGGAGGATCACTTGAGCCCAGGAGTTTGAGGTTGCTGTGAGCTAGGCTGACATCATGGCACTCTAGCCCGGGCAATAGAGCAAGACTCTGTCTCCAAAATAAATAAATAAATAAACAATTGTATAGCAAATTTGTATAACTATCTCAGGTATGATTCATAGTATGTGCTACTAAATGACAATTCTCAGCTCTTTGTTACTAAATTAATTGAATTACAGTTAACTATGTTATGGCATATAATGTAGAATATTTTCTTTGCAAGATGTTTTTAATGCAAATACATAGGGTTTATCTGTAAGCAGTACAAGCATTGAGAGTATAGCAATAATATGTGAAGATTCAGAATCAGTGCAAAGTTCAGTTCAGTGAAAACAATGACAAGAAAATTGTTCATTGACTGAGAGGATAATATTAATTTGATAGTTAATCTATGATAAAAGAAAATGAGTAGATCAAGCTATCCAGATAAAACTCATTTTTTATATTATAGAATAAGTAAATATAGAAAAAAGGGATACATTAGAAGCCATATTTAGAAATGTAATTGAAGTATGAAAGGAAAATAGAAACTAAAATGCTAATACGAGATAGGCCCAATTGTCTTCACAACTGAATGGACACCTATACTACTTCTTACCCCAATCACTCCACTCACTCCATTGCCTATCCGAAGTCAGAGGAATTGTAGAACATTATGCTAAGTAAAATAAGTGAGACACAGAAGGACAAACGCTGCAGGCTCTCACTCATATGTGTAATCTAGTGCTGGGAACGTGGCCAATGTTCCCCACAAAAAACCAGGTCCCTTTGGTAGAGTTGCAAGGGATAAGAAAATAATAGAGAAAAATGGAAAATAGGAGAAATAAAAGAATACACTGAGACAAAGATACAGTTTTATAAGTTTATAAAGATTATAGGCAAAGCGGGAGCTCAGGGGGCTTAAACCTCTCCGTGGGTCTCAAAAAGCCCCGAATGGGGTCTTACATGGTAACTTATAAGAAATAGTGAATAATTGCCAGGGGTAACAGATTTACATAACAGCAGGTAGTTCCTCTCAGGTTAACAGATTTTTAAAAGGCTTTTACAGAAGGCTTCTACAGATTCTTTAACTAATTCT